AATCGAAGACGTCTCATTTTGTAGAGGATGGTTTATCCTATCGTTCTGTGTAGTCTAAATAAAACTATATTTACGTATTCTAAACGTTGAAAAATTAGGGTTTAGATTTTCTGAAGTCCCTACTTTTGGAAATGTGATACTCGTTTTTATTCTCTGATATCCTTGTTGAAACCCATTATCATCGCTATTCAAATTTGCTATTTTAATTTTTTCTAACGCTTACGAAAGCAAAAATAATTGAAAATAAACCTTGTTGAATCTTTTTGGTATGCGCTTGTTTATTTGTTTCAACCGATTCTTACTGAAACAAGTTCAACTTTTCTTTGCCAAACTTGACAATCACGTTGGAGATTACAAAGTAATGATTTTCTCTTAACATAATCTAAAATTTCTGGCACTTGATAATGTTCTATTTGATCACGTAAATTATAATTTCTTTTATTAGCACGTGATTGCTCATAATTAGCTTTATTTATTTCTTGTCGAGTAAATTCATATAAAATATCTTGTTTATTAATGCGTTGTTGAATATCAATTAAATCTATTGTATTTGTATTCAAGTTAGCTTTATAATAATTAAGTAATTGTGTAACTTTTGCAACTTTATGTTTATGTAAAACAAGTTCAATATTTTTCTCGTCAATTTTATCTAAATATTGTTTATTTTCCATTTGTAATTGATTAAAATCTACTTCAGTTAATGTTTCTCCCATTTCTTCTTTTTCTCGTAATTGTGCTTCTAAACGTACAATTTGTCTTTTTAAACCTGATGAACGATCACGTAATTTATTTGTTAATGATTCACGTGTTTGAAGATGTTCATGAAAATAACGATCAATTTTTTCACCGACTAATTTACGTGTACGTTTATTAGTTGATGCATCTTTTATTTTAAGAAATTCTGTTATTGATAATTCAAAATCCGATCGTTCAATATCAACCCATTCAATATCAGACTGAATGAAGAAATTTTTGATTTGGTTTAAAAGTACAAGAAAAGGAAGAGAAATGAAGTCAAACCTCTAGTTGATCAGTTTTCTTTTCATTAATGATTTCACGACGCATTTTGTCAATTTTTGTTTGTTCATATTCCGATATAATAATAGCAAGTTTTTGTTCAAGTGTTAAATGTATACGAAGATCACTCTGAGTACTTCGTGATTTTGATCGTTTACGTGCTAAACGATCACCTCGATTTGTTGCACTTGTATTTGCTAAATCTTGATAAGAACCAGTTGGTGTTGTTGTTTGAGATGAACTAATAGGTGGTATTGTTGATGGAACGTGAGAAATAATTGATTCAAATTTTTTTCGTTCCAAAGCCGCTTCAAATAAAGAATTTTCAAATTTTAGTTCAACTATTTCACGTCTAAAGGAAAAGAAAATATGAATTATATGTTTTTCAATATGTGTGATTGTCAAATAGCTTAAGTAATCTATTAGATTAAGTAACGGATAGAGAGAATTTGATTTAATTACTCGAATCTTTCTAAACGTTGTTGAAGTTCAAGGTCATCCGTATCATCGAACATAGTGCCACTACGACGATGAACAGGAGATGTTTCATTAATAAGTGACTTTGTTTCAATCATGTTGTTTTTACATATTTACACAGTAAATTGAAGTTAAAGAACAATCAATCAAATAGCTGACAGAAAAATTGTTACTATCGGTGATAGCCTCTTTTCAAAAACAATTATGAGTATAGGAAAAAGCAGATGTCGTCAACAATATTAAAAACAACTAATTAATACAGTTTGAAACAATCAGATATGGGTTTATTAAGCTCAATATTAGTCTTATCGAATGCTTTATCTATCAAGCTAATCATTTACAGCATCAATCCAGTTAAAAACAATTAGCAGAATATGTACTAAGACCAATTTTTTTCTGATTTCTAGTTTTATTCCTAATAACTTTCGTGGCAGTTTGAAGCTCAACAAAAACTTTATTAACAAAAAGTTTGAACTGATTCTGTATTATTGTTCATAAATGTTGTGTCATCAATTTGAGGCTGCAAAAATCAATTTACCATCAAGTTGTTTACATATTGTAATGGGCTTTTCAATAGAATAATAGAAATATGAATTCAACTATAAACAATGTTGCTTGTAGTTTAGAGCATAATTCGAGTCTAACAGTTATTATATTCAGAGAAAATAATCTGAAAAAAGTCTATAAAATTTCATAGAAATCGACCAGATCAATATATGAATGTTAAAAGTAATTATTTCAATCCATAGAAAATTCATTGAGTTACCAAGATATTTTTCAATTGTATAATATTAAGAAATCAAAGAAGTGGAGTGTAAAGGAACATATTCAGTTCCTGTTGACTTGTAAGGTTCAAGCTAAATGAATTATGTATAGAATGAAAGACTATGAGCTTTCAATCATTTTGATGGCAAATTTGAAATATTTTTGATTAGTTTATCGATGCAAAGTTGCTAGATGATCGTGCTTTTTTCAAATCAGCTGTCAAACACTATTGCTAGAATTTTTTTACAAAAGCCTTTATATCTAATGCTGAAAATTAAGAAAAGAAATTTGATCTTTGATAGATTCCTTCTTGTTGAAACACCGTTCGTTTTTTTACTTAATCTTGATATTCATTTGTTATCCTTATAAAGTACATCGTAAGTGATATTGATCAAAAATTATTCTGAGAGAAAATTGATCTAATCCTAAACTTAGTGAATTTCATTGCAGCGAGCATTATATTCAAAGTCGTTTGAAATCTAAGTTCGTAGAAATTTAATTACAAAATAGTTTTAAGATTGAAACGAACATCCTATAAATGTATACTTATGTATCCTTATACCTTGCCTAATTAAATATTCTTTCATGGTATTTTCAATTTTTCATTGTTTTGTTCTCATGCAAGTATGCAAAAATGAAACACTATATTTTGAAAAATGTAGCGCCATAAATATGAGAAATTAATTTCTCCAGTTAGTGTTAATATCGGTGCACATTTCTCTTTCATTTGCCGTTTGATAATTGTAGTAATGAAACTACCGTCCTATTGTTTCACATCTTTTTTCAAAGAATATTTCAAGCACTACACAACTATTCACTTTTTACGATCTCAACAAATGAACCATATAACAAAATCCTAATCCTAATATTCTTGAACACCAATTTTCCACTATTTTGATTGGTATCTGGCTGTTTTCCGGCAGAATTATACCAATTTGATTTCAAACAAATATCGTATTTAGAATCAGCATAGTAAACTGAATTGACGCATATTTCTTTGAAACTTTTTCTGCGATATTTTTCCGATCCAATTTTCATCCATGGACTCTTCATGCATGTGCGAAAAAATGAATTTGGTGAAAAGGTCGTTTTGTCAGTGGAAAGCAAGTTCTCAACTTATAGAATTCCATTTGCAAGTAACGAAAGAAGTGTCCATATTTTTGAGAAAAGAATTTTCCGTAACAACTAATTCATAAGGAAGTAGTTTCAATGAAATTATCAGTCTATAGAAATATTAATGCTTGTCCTCAGAACTATAAACTTTATTTTCAATTTCCCATTAATCTTCGATATATCTTCATAATTGCAAAAATTTCTCAGTAACTTCTGAAAATTCATAAAATTTGGGAGTAGGGACCTTTTATATTTCAATAAACGAATGGCGGATTTTTTTAAAAATGTCAGCTACCATTTTTTGAATAACTCTTCACCATTGATAACTGTCGAGTTTGGGTTTTAATCATTCGATAGAACGACACCGGGAGCGTCTGGCTATATGGGAGTCATTAGAATTGGAAAATTTTCTTGTATATCTTTGCAAACGAATATCTTTTTCGAGACATTTCTTCCATAATTTCCATAGCAGCAAAGGCTCAAATTATACTAGAATATGGCCCGACTTTTCCTCTATCGATCATAAAATTTTCAAATCATTTGACCGTTTCCTTAAAGAGATACAGTAGTTTTTGTAAGATATTGAATAACACAATTTTTGCAATGTTGAGTGAATGTAAATTATGCATGAAAATACATGTTTTCAACGGTATCCAATCCACTGAGACCGTCATTTTCAATTGTGAAAGCTTAAAAAGAATAGCTTCCTATGTCTTCACTATTCTCTTTTGTAGCTATGAATAATGAAACAAGCGGTCGATCGTATTTCTTTTCGTAGCACTGAAATAAAAGAAAATTGATATATATATGTCGTGCCCAATAGAGAAAAAGAGAATTTATTCTGATTTCTGGTAACTCTACTCTTTAATTTTTTCTTTCATGACGGCTTGTCTATTCGATACTGTGTTTATTCCTGGTTGGTATTGTGATACATTACTAGGTAGTATGGCATCATCATAAATATGTATACATTCGACTGCCTTTCTCTTGCGTTCTGTCAACAAGTATGAAAAACATATCCACTATATTTTTGTCTTTTCTTCGTTTAAGTTCAGATTATTCAAGGGCATTTTCTCTTTCTTGTTCTATACTACTTTGTCTCTCGCTTTCGATCGGACTCATGATCATCTGGAACTTTGTTCAGTGTCCAAGATGATGTATATATATACCCACTACTTTAGATGATCAGTTCAGTTTACTTATTATAAGGCTGCAGTGAACTTGAGTCAATAAACCACTCAAAGCAAACAATCTAACAACATTTTTATGATCAAAAGCGTATCACGTATTCTTCTATTAGTCTTTGATAAAAAAGTAAAAGATGTCTGGTCAAGAATTTTCCGTGGAAGTGAAACGTTTCTTTTTTCGTGGAATTGCATTTATTGAATCAGAAAAGTATGATCCACAAATTCCTCTGAACAATACACTAGAGCGTTTTCAAGCTTGTCTCAGAATTACAATCTGATCAATAGCCAATTTGAAGAAAGAGTTGTTGGGAACTCTGTGAACAAGCAGAGGAAGAGAATACACAAGATTCAGAAGAAGTCAAATACTTGTATTCTTTCCGCACTCGACAAGTAACCGATACCTTTTCATTATCACCATCTGTTTCAAACATGCACAACGCAATGATGTCAAGCGCACCTTCATTGACTGCATCTTTTCATCCTTATCTTGAAAGACATCGATCTATGCCAGATACCAGATCTTTTGTATCTGTTTCCGAACCAATAGCACTGCAGAAGATCGGTAATGTTGGGCGTAAGCCACTTGTATTAAATGCATTAGCTGAAGATACAATTCGTTATGTCTTTCACGAAATGTTCGAGGAAAAAATCTATCCAACAATTTCTACACTTCTCACCCGTTTGTGTACTGAACATTCAGGTTTTCCGATTCGAACAGAATCTGCTCTTCCAAAGAAGATGAAAGAAATCGGTTTCCAATATCAACGAACAGTAAAAGTCACAGTGATTCTTGAGCAAGTTATTGTGAATTTTCAGAACTAAACGCCAATCTTTTGTGGTCACATGATCGTTATTTTTATCTAGTTCAAACTCGTTTATGTCCCAGCCAGCCACGAATTTTCAGAGTCTTAATCATCTACGCGCTAATGGCGCTCATGTTTACTATTACGATGAAACCTGGTGTAACGCTGGTGAGGAAAAACTTTTTGTCTGGTTCAGTGATCGTGGGGATGGTCATCTACGGAAGAGTAATGACAAAAGTAAACGATTGACAATCTCGGCCACGACTAATGATCGTGGAGTTGACAAGCGTACAATAAATAATTTTCCATCTAATGAAGACCATTCAATGAATAGTAACCATTTTATTGGATGGCTTCGAAAGACTGCCGCACATTTACGTCATCAATATTGTGAGCCAACTCGAATTTATATCGTTTTGGATAACGCATGTTGGCAAAATAAGTTGTGTGATGATGCTAAACCATTAAAGCGACCGTGGAGGAAAAACTGAAATCGAACGATGGCTCCAGGGAAGAAAAATTGAACATGAAAGCTGTCTGAAGAAAGCGCAGTTGTTAGAAATAGATATCGCTAATGTTCCGTCTAAGAAATTCAAGACCAATGTGGTAGAAGCGAAATTCAATGTGCAATTGCTTCGTCTGCCTACCAAACAGTATACATTAAATCCGATAGAAATGGTATGGGCAAAACATAAAGAACACATTCGAAATTACAACACATCTTTCGTAGGTGGTAGAAACATTCTAAATTTCCACTATTTTCTACTAGTCAATCTTACAATATGGAATAATGCCTTCCTTTTTTGTCTTTAATAGCGTCTCTCAGACATTTCATCGTTTTCATTTAAATTTCTCAATTCACTTGACTCAGATTCTTGTCGAAAATACATTCAATATGTATGCAAAGTAGAAGAAACTTTTCGTGCAGCTGATAAACTTGCCGCAGAACAAATTGAATCTAGTCTCATCGATTCCGACTCCGATGACGATCAAGGTACCAATGAAAACTTCGAAGATGTAGACAATGATCGCATGTGATCCTTTTCTATCTGTTCACGAATTTTCTGCATTTTTCTCTTTCATCATAATAAAAGATACTGTCTTTTTGAAACACTCATAAAACAGATATGATATTCTACCTAACAATTTATCACAATACCAACCAGGTATAAACAAAATATCGAATAGACAAGGTGCCACGAAAGAAAAAATTAAAGAGTAGAGTTACCACAAATCAGAATAAATTCTCTTTTTTCCTGTTAGGCATGATATATGTGTCCAAAAATGCAAAGTAAATACTTTAATTTCCTACAGTCGAAATTTCACAGACGTCTCTGAAGAAATGTCTTTTTTATGCATTAGCAAGTTCCGAGAATCGCTAAAAATTACCTACTTATGTGTTGTTAATTTCGAAATTTTTTTTTTCCGAAAACCTAAAAATACCTCGTATAGGTTCATAATGCAAATAACTGGAGATTCGTTTTTGTTTTTAGTGAATGGGCTATCACAGTATCGCGGAAGTCAAATGCGACTAAAACAGATTCTCATGCACTCTTGGCCTATGATAAGAACTACAACCAATAAGTATTAACAAGTTTTTCAATTTCCGCTTAAGAACAAAGTAATCGGAATATAATCGCTAATTAATCTCTAGTTTTTAAAAATAAAGCTTGAGTCAGAGACATTCATTGCGAACAAAAATTTGCTGCTCTCACAATGGTCTTCGAGAAATTCTTCAAAAGTCTCCTCCATTGCTTTGCTAAATTGGAGCAGTTAGATTGAGCCCATCAGATTCATCACTATTATGGCTATAGGACTCGTAGACACTCAAATCGAATGCAAATTTGTACAATCTTACAATCAAACTTAAAAAAGCGGTCGTTCCGTTGCTGCACCGCCGTGGACATCTAAGGTTTGAGTATTGATTGAAGTTATGCATTAAGACTTGCTTCAATGTATGATAAAGTAACCTTGACCACTATTTTTGCTTTTTCAATTATAATAAATGTGAATTAACATAAAATTTTCTACAACACAATAGATGTCACTGCACTCCGATAAACAGCTCCAACGATACCTGTCCATTGTCCTCCATCATAAATTCAAGTCCATTTTCTTTTCTTAAAACTTTTATTATAAAAAAACATATAAAAACCATTGAACTTCATCGTAACACAAAGTGGATGATCAAATTCATATATCCTTCATTAGTTGTAAATACTCACCAATAGACTTCATCAAAATTTACTGCTATCTTATTTTTATTTCTATCATTACATTCAAGTTATTTTTTTTTGTTTATGTACTTATTACATGTCTAGTTTTTTTTCTTGTATCTATAATTTTCAAATTTGATTTTCTAATATATTTTTGTAATTTTAGATCATTCACGAGACCATAAAAACATGGCTACCACAACCAACATCTCGAAGAAACGCAAAGTAACATTGTCAATTGAATTATTTTCATAATGTAACTTTTGTTCTCGTTTTTCAAATGATTTTAGTTTATTCGTGAAGGTGTTTTTCATGCTGAACTTAATGAATTTTTTACACGTGAATTAGCCGAAGATGGTTATTCAGGTCTTGAAATTCGTGTAACACCACAACGCACAGAAATTATTATTATGGCAACTAAAACTCAACAAGTACTTGGTGAAAAAGGTCGTCGTATTCGAGAATTAACATCAGTTATTCAAAAACGTTTTGGTTATCCAGAAAATTCAATTGAATTATTCGCTCAAAAAGTTGTTACACGTGGTTTATGTGCAATAGCTCAAGCCGAATCATTACGTTACAAACTTATGGGTGGTCTTCCAGTACGACGGCAAGTTTCGCAAAAGCAAAAACTTTTCACGTAAAAATAATCTTGTTTTTTTTTCTGTTTATAGAGCATGCTATGGTGTCTTACGCTTTATAATGGAATCAGGTGCTCAAGGCTGTGAAATTGTTGTTTCGGGTAAATTACGTGGTCAACGTGCTAAAGCTATGAAATTTATCGATGGCTTAATGATTCATTCGGGAAACCCTGTTAATGATTACGTACAGTTTGCTGTACGACATGTCTTATTACGTCAAGGTGTACTTGGTATTAAGGTTAAAATTATGTTACCACATGATCCAAAAGAAGGCAAAGGTGTTAAAAAACCATTACCAGATCATATTCAAATTGTTCAACCAAAAGAAGAAACACCTATTGTACAACCATATTCTGAACCAAAAGAGAGAAAAATAGAACCAGTAAAAAATACTCTTTGTTTTTTAAATGAAAATTTTTTAAAATTTATTTATTTTTATTTGTTTTAGTTACCTCAACAAATGGTTCATCCACAACAATTACAACAACAACAACAACAACAACAATTACCACCTCAGCCACAAGCACAATTACAACCAGGAGCACCAGGCAATCTTGTTTATCAATAAGAAAACAAAAACCGAATGGTCACACACAAAGAAGAAGCTATATTTAGTACCATCATTATTTTTGATTGTTTGTTCTTGCTTTTAGGCTTTATAGCCATTTTAAGCAGCAAATAAAGAAAACGATAAAAAAATTTATAAAGATTAATTCATAGTCTATGATTGATTGAAAACAAAAAACATTAATGAAAATATTTTTTTAATCTTTGAAAATTCAAAATAGAATTTTTTTTTCGATTACAGCACTTTATTCATCATAGATTTCAATCAACTTCTATCAGTAAAGTAATATCTTTTAGATGCATTGTAATTAGTAATATTATATAAAACAGGAGTCTAATTTAAAAAAAAAACATTTGTTCAATATACTTACAATTATATATCTGGAAGAGGTAGAGATAAGAAGGACTAGTGTATTCGATATAAGTTGCAGGACTATAATTTGAACGAATTTCTGTTTAATATCAATGTAGTTCATCATTATACATAAGGTCAGATGTAAAATATATATACTCATAAATTCTTTTTTTATGTATATAAATTGTCAATGTTCTAGCTAGAGGAATCTTATACATCATTTTATTCTGCGAAGAAGCTTGAAAACTCATTTTTAATATATTCATACATTTCGAAATACCTTCCGTCGATTATTACATTGGCTTGAACCGATAGTTTTGTTTAAAGAAATTTTATTTATATATATCAATTAAATTGTCTATGAACACATACTAGATGAATGAATCCGGTTGAAANTTGCTTTTAGGCTTTATAGCCATTTTAAGCAGCAAATAAAGAAAACGATAAAAAAATTTATAAAGATTAATTCATAGTCTATGATTGATTGAAAACAAAAAACATTAATGAAAATATTTTTTTAATCTTTGAAAATTCAAAATAGAATTTTTTTTTCGATTACAGTACTTTATTCATCGTAGATTTCAATCAACTTCTATCAGTAAAGTAATATCTTTTAGATGCATTGCAATTAGTAATATTATATAAAACAGGATTCTAATTTAAAAAAAAAAACATTTGTTCAATATACTTACAATTATATATCTGGAAGAGATAGAGATAAGAAGGACTAGTGTATTCGATATAAGTAGCAGGACTATAATTTGAACGAATTTCTGTTTAATATCAATGTAGTTCATCATTATGCATAAGGTCAGATGTAAAATATATATACTCATAAATTCTTTTTTTTATATATATAAATTGTCAATGTTCTAGCTAGAGGAATCTTATACATCATTTTATTCTGAGAAGAAGCTTGAAAACTCATTTTTAATATATTCATACATTTCGAAATACCTTTCGTCGATTATTACATTGGCTTGAACCGATAGTTTTGTTTAAAGAAATTTTATTTATATATATCAATTAAATTGTCTATGAACACATACTAGATGAATGAATCCGGTTGAAAGAGTTGTCCAGAAGTAATAATAAGAGTGAAATCTATCACAATATAAAAAAAAACAAATAAAGCGAAGACTATTAATTTATATCATTAGATATGATATGAAAGAATGAGATGAGAAATGAATTAAAAAAGTTGTCATTGAAATAAGTCATAGTTCATATTTTTGTATTTTACGCATTTGACAACATATATGGTTACATATCGCATAAAATCGACGCATTTTCACATAAGTCTCTTCAGTGAAGCGTGACAAAAAAAAAACGTATTAAGTATCATTCACTGAAGTAAATATAAAAATGTCAGCAACAGTTGTTCTTGTTGGTACGTTTGATACGAAAGGTGCTGAATATGAATTTGTTCGAAAACAGATTGATGATATTGGTACATGTTCCGTATTTCTTATTGATGTTGGTCTTCAATCAAATAGTGAAACACTACCAACCGCCGATATTTCATCAATATCAATTATTAAAGCTGCTGGAGGTGATTATAAAGCATTAGAAGAACGTAAAATAGAAAAGTCTGAAGCATTTAATTTGATGACAAAAGGTCTTACATTAAAATTAAATGAACTTTATCAATCGAATCGTTTACATGGTCTTCTTGCATTGGGTGGTTCATGTGGTACAGCAATCGTATCTGAAGCTATACAACAATCAAAAATATTACCCATTGGTTTACCTAAATTAATTGTATCAACTGTAGCTTCTTCAAGTAATGCTCATACAGCTGTTGGCTTAAGTGATGTTACTTTAATGCATTCTGTTACTGATATTAGTGGTGGAGTTAATCGTATTAATGAGCCTATTTTAGCTAATGCAGCTGTTGCTATTGCTGCCATGGCTTCACGTTATTATTCATCTATGGTTCAATCGAAAGAAACAACATTCGATAATGCACCTTTAATTGCTCTTACAATGTTTGGTGTTACAACATCATGTGTAATGGAAGCAAAAAAACAACTCGAAGAACTTGGCTATAATACAGTAATTTTTCATGCTACAGGTGTAGGTGGTCAAGCAATGGAACGTTTAATTGAATCTGGTTCGATTAATGGTGTACTTGATATTACGACAACAGAATTAGCTGATGAACTTGTAGGTGGGATACTTTCAGCAGGTCCAGAACGATTAGAAATTGCTGGACGAATAGGTTTACCTCAAGTCATTTCACTTGGAGCACTCGATATGGTTAATTTCGGTCCTCGTCATACAGTACCAAAACAATTTACTGAGAACCGTTTGTTATATGAACATAATGCTCACGTAACATTAATGAGAACAACAAGTGATGAATGTACTCAACTAGGTGAGATTATTGCCCAGAAACTGAATCAAAATCATGGATCAAATCGAGTATGTGTATTTGTTCCACGTGGTGGATTTTCTTTAATATCAGGCATGTATCTTTGACTTTCACTGCACAAATTCTTCTTTTCTTTTTAATATTAATTATTGTTTAGTTGATGGTGGTCCATTTTATGATAAACAAGCAGATGCATGTCTTATTGAAGCATTACGTAAACATGCGAATACAGCGAAAGTTGAAATTATTGAACGTAATGAATCAATCAATGATCCGTCATTTGCACATGCCATGGTTCAAGCATTACATGCTCAAATGCAGTACAAACCAGTTCATCGAATTCATACTGAATTAGTTCAGAAACAGGTGACAAAACCACGAAACCGTCGTGAATGTTTAGATCGACTGAAATCTGTCATAGAAGAAGGCCGAGTTATAATTGGTTCAGGTGCAGGAATTGGTTTATCAGCAAAATGTATTGAAGAAGGTGGTGTCGATCTACTCATAATTTATAATTCAGGACGATTTCGTATGGCTGGTAGAGGTTCATGTGCTGGTCTTCTCTCGTATAGTGACGCTAATGCTATTGTTCTTGAAATGGCAGGTGAAGTGTTACCTGTTGTAAAATATACACCCGTTCTTGCTGGTGTCTGTGGTACTGATCCATTTCGACTGATGCCTCAATTCTTAAAACAAATTAAAGAAGCCGGCTTTATTGGAGTACAAAATTTTCCAACTGTTGGCATCATGGATGGTCGTTTTCGACAAAGTCTTGAAGAAACTGGCATGGCTTACGAACAAGAAGTTGAAATGATTCGACAAGCTCATTCGATTGGTTTAGTTACAGCACCATATGTATTCAATGAAGAGGAAGCTCGAAAAATGACGGAAGCTGGAGCAGATATTATTGTTGCGCATATGGGTGTTACCACTAAAGGTGCTATAGGAGCGAAATCTTCATTAACATTAGATGAATGTGTGCAACGTATTCAAGCTATTCATGATGTTTGTATTAAAATTAATCCTCAAGTAATTGTTCTTTGTCATGGTGGTCCATTAGCTGAACCAAATGATGTGCAGTATATTCTTGAACGAACGCATGGTATAAAAGGGTTCTTTGGAGCATCGAGTATGGAACGATTACCAACGGAAATCGCACTTGTTGAAAATACAAAACGATTTAAACAATTAAAACTTACAAGGAAGGACTGAAATTATATTTTCACATACTCATTTTCGTTGAGTTACATAATAAGGAGTTAGATGCAGTCGTAAATTATAAACTTATATCTTGAAGCTATTATTTTTGAAAAACTAATACTAATAGAAAGAAGATTTTTTCTAACCACCATTATGTAATGTAAGGAAGTTATTTTTTGAGAGAAAATTAAATAGTATGGATTGCTATTATCTTTGTATTACAAATTTGTCAATGAATACAAGTAGAAAAAAACTCTTCAATAGTTCTTATCTTTCTGTCTTTTCAATGTACATAATTCTAATACTATTATATGATGATACATCAAATTGAGAAAGTCTCCAATTTTTATGTGTGGTGGCTTCTAACAAAATTTCCTTATACTTTAGATATTTCATCAATTTTTGTATAGCCTTTTCGTAGATTTTGGATACACATATTATAATTTGTTAACTTAAGGCTGTTTTAAGAGATACGGAGTGCAACAATTGTCCAATCTTTATGAATATTGGTAATAAACAATAATAGGAATATAACATATATCAGTTATGAGAATGAGTTCTGTTAAAGAAGAGCATTTTTTGCTGTGCTTCTAAGATAATGATTCTGTTTCTATATGCATTAATTTATTTGGTAAATCAAAAGTAAAATAAAATAAAATAATTAATTAGACAAAATTAAATTAAGTTACTGTTGACATTTTGGTCAGCATTGGTCGTCTTCAGAATCTTATTTTTACACACACAATTTATATTTATATTGGCCATAGTTTAAATTTTCCCCTTTGATCATAGTAGTATTAATTAGAAGAAACAGCAATGTTGGCAGAACATCTGGGTTTTATCATCCGGATCGCTATTATGCAAGAAAAGATTTTATAAATATAGCAAAATAACCATCAATTGTGCGTGTGTAATAATAGAATTCTGAAGATAATCAACTCTAGCCGAAACGTCAGTATTACACGTAATGATAAATTGAATCTGAGCAACTGCAGCTACCTGAACAAGAATAGCGTCAGATTATTGATAAAACAATAATTCGCATAAATGCAAAAATACAACAATAAATAAACAAATCCGATGCAATCAATATAATTATATTGTGTATCAGCATACAAATTGTATCGGAATGCACAATCAGCACCATCAACTATAACAACTACAAGCACAGATGCCAAATATGATGAAAAAACGCTTTTGAACAAGTTCTTTGATTTAAAGCTAGCTCACAGAATGCAATTATTGCACTGAATAATCAGAAAGATATTGACTGCATTATAACTTCTAATTCGTTTTTAATGATTCTTATTTGTCATTGAAACCAGTAGAACAAATGTAAAGTTTCGATAGCAAATCTTGATCATAAGAATCATTGGATATTTCATGCAATTCTAACATATTGTTTAACTCTTGAAAGGACATTTTTCTATGAAAAAAAAGGTGAAGTTTTATTCGTAATATTCATGATATTGTAAAAATTAATTGATCATAAATGATTTTATGTGATACGATTTAAAGATGTATGCAGTTTATTTTGTAATCGTAAAGCAAAATAAAATAAAAGCAATCCGCTGTTGTATAGTTAATAATTCTTCCCTGTAGTCAATTTTGAAATTATAAATTTAATTTGAGTTTCCTGGCAAGGACACTCAACGCAGTTCATTAAAAGAAATGTCAACATCACGACTATGATTCATAACAAATGAATGCTTATGTTTCTTATTTTGTTGAATTTAGTCACCTTTGTATGGCTGAAAATTACTGAGAGAAAAAAAACAATAAAGAACATTTCATTATCAAATAATGACGATGGTATCCATGACAATAAATCGTTCTGCTTTGTCAAATTATAATTTATTTATTTAGTTTTATTAGCAAGGAATAAAGTTTTAACAACAATATATCAGGATAGTGTTTTTTTAAAAACATTACAATGTCTTTAGCTTCGGTAATGATGTATATTCATATTTTCAAATTCGTCGAGAAGTGAATCTGTGAACTAATAAACAAGAACTTTACTGAGAAGCACATCTTTGGTATTGATTGTACAAGAAATAAATGAGTTGTTATATATCTCATTTGTTTATAACTTTGTCTTTCATATGGTTCAAATTTTTGTAGCTGGTATATATTAAGAATGTAAAGAAGAATCAAAAGAAAAACGAAATTTGGAAGTATGTTCTAAAAGTACTGAATAAAAATTGGTCAATATATCTTATTTTTATAAGGATAGATTCATAATTACAAAAGCTAAATAGTGACAGGATTAATTGAACTTTTTACCAGAGGGACTGCTTCACGTTTTGTTACCATTGCTACTTTCTTAAATTCGATTGCAGTTTCAATTTTTTATCTATGATAAGAAAGTTTAATAAACAAAATTCCAATTGTAAACATTGTTTACTTTTATTCTATAATTTAAAACATATTTGTTAACTCCCGATCTTTAAATAACTTTATATCGATGTTGTTCCTGTTTCAGTTTAGCTCTTTAGTACAAAAGATAAAAATTTAGATTTGCTTTTTTCCGAGATTTCTTGAATTCTTTCTTGACATATACAAACGAGAGTCGACACAATATTAAATAATTGGATAAACGAATTGAAGAAGATTTCATAGTTGCCAGAAGCGATAAAATACAAGTAAAGTTTTCCATGTTGTGCTCAATAAAAGTGTCGTCAATAGATTTCAAGAGACTGCAGTTATATTGTCACAGATTAGCATGATGCACAAAAACTGTCCTCTTAGAATGGGATTTATTATGTCGAATACCATAGTATTTCATAGAAATTTGAACCAATATTTCATTGTATATCGAACACCAAGCAATTGCTGAAAAACTATTGTAACATAATGACAGAAACCCTTTTTGGAAAAAAAAACAATGTTTAATGGATCATGTTTTAGTCAGTAAACTTTTCACGATAGTAAACCAATGCAAATTTCGTAACATCAATAAGTCGTATATTAAAGTATTCACGTCAGAAGGCTAATTACAGAATATACCATTCTATAGTTCAAATAGAATTACTGATTTACATAGTAAATTATTCACAATACTATGGTGTCTATATTATTATTCGTGTTAGCAAAGAATACGAGCGGTTTTTTTTCGATTGTAGTTTGTTCCATGCTGCATTAAATCTTCTTGAAAAAAATTAATCTGTTATGATAATATTATGTTTGTTCAAGAATTTTTCTAAATCGATCAGACAGATATAACTCAGCAAGAAAATCTTAATGGATTTTGACTTATCGTAATGCAACAATTTCATTTTTTGCATAAATAATTAGTCCATATTCAGTTGAATTACTTTATTGATTAACAAATTTTTATTTCAATCACATGGAATCAAATTTGAATTTTAATGCAAAAAAAAAAACTTTTTTTTTTATGAAATTTTATTAGATTTTTCTCACCTAATTTGATTAATTAACACCTTTTTCTTTGTCTAGTTTAAATTGATGAAATTTTGGATATTGTCTTGGACTGCCTTTAGTAATATTCATTGTTCTTTCTTTTAAATTCATAATTAATGAACAAACTGTTCCAACAGCACCGAAATCTGTTGATTTATATAATCTGCATATTGGGTATGTTTGTTTATCATCATAGTCAAACAAAATTGATTCTATTGGTTTTTTGTTTTCCCAAAGTTGTTGAACTCGTTCATAACGATCTAATGAATTTCGATAACGTGGTTTATCTTTAATATGATCATTATTATTTGTATATAGAAAATGATTTGTATGATACGGATGATTTCGAATAAAATGAACTTTATCACCTGGAAATTCTACACAACAGCATTGACCTTGATCATCACCTAAAGTGAAATGATTTTTATAAGGACAAGAAAACGAAGAATTGAATAATATAATTTACCAACAAGAACATGCCCACCAAAACCAGGCCCATTTCGTTCAAATATATTTAACGCTTGTTCAAGAGTTTTTGCTTGATCAAGTACAGTTCGTAATGAAATATGTAACGGTATATATGAAGGATTTGGTGATTGAACTGATGAATCAACAAAATTTAGCGTAATACCAATGCCATATGAATTAAAACCAATTTTTCCTAAGACACCAGGTTCAGTCATTTGTAAAATTTCATTGGATTTTATATAATTAATAAACGCTAAATATTCAAAATCTTGTATCCAATCCCAATTTTCAGCTAATTGACAAGTTTGTTGATCATATAAAACTGTACATTCATTTTGTATACCAAATGATAAATGATTTAAAATTTCTAAACGACAATTTAATGCAATAATCCACAATGGATCTTGTTTAGATGATATAGCTATTGAATCAAGTTCTTCTAAATAATCATTCGAAAATAATGATATACCTCGATGATATTGTTCACATAAATTTAAAATATATTTTTCATTAAAATTTTTTTGTTTAGAAAATTGTTCACGATAAATCTTTATTGATTTATCTATACGTTCGGATAATATTGTTCCATGTTCATAACCACGTTCACGTGATGTTTGACCATTAAATTGAATAAATGGAAAGATTTCATTAGAATTTATTGACATCATCTTATTGGTTAGTTAACTACGGCACTAATACTTTCAATTTATATAGCTAATGATTGATATTTTTCAAATTCGTTATATCTTTTATATAAAATTATTTTAATATTTAACAACCAAATAGTCAATTGATTTTATTATTGATATAAATAATAATAAGTTCAGGATATCTTATTTCAAAAAAGATTACGATTATGTTGTAGGCCAAGACTACAGGTTCCACCTAAGGGAATTAAAAGTTTAACGAAAATGTAATAACTGTAGGTTGTTATTCATTGCCTATCTCAATAAAGTTCCAACAGATGGCAACACTAAACAGTTTCGTGGCTACTAACAAAGATTCATATTCTCAACTGATACTTATATATTTATTTTTGGTGTCTTGTCCAAGTCATATTGTATCTAAAAACTTAATGACATCATTATGATTTACTTTATTATTTTATTAATGATTATTGTTAATGCTTTTGAACGAAGGCAAATGATTTCTTGATTATATACACTAGATTTACTTGCATCATTTACAATGTCTGATCAATCACTTTCATCTTATCAGCAAGCTGCTGATCTTATAAGTCGTTTGACTACCGTTGAAAAAATTACACAGATGACTACAAAAATCGATGCTATGCCATGTTTAGATGTACCTGATTCATCGTAATGGTCAGAAAGTTTACAGAGCATATCTTATTCATCACGATTTTCGTTTTATAGTAATTTTTTACGGCAACTGGTTTTTCGATGCTCATTAATTTAGGTAGAACATTTACTATGAAACTTACTTGTCGTACTAGTAATAGAAGCATATGCATTTAATAATAATGATCATACTAAACTAGTTTATGTTATGTCAAATGTAAATATTTTTCGTCATATGTAGTTTTAATAAGATAAATAATACTCCAGCAAAGCTTAATCGATTTATTCTATGGAACATTTTTGGATGAGAGAATTTCATTCATTTTTCTTTTTGTATAGTATTAATTATTTTATATAGATGCATGCCATCAAAAATACTTTCAGTTGCTTTGTATTCTGGTAAAGATAAAGATTGTGAAAATTTTTTGTTTCAAACGTAAACAAGAAGTACTGAAGGAAAACAAACAATCGTTGAAGTTGATATTGATCAAGTATTACAACAAACAATAATCTTCAAATTTTCTTGGTTATATTGACTCATCTGAACAACAACTTTATAGTCAAATAACAAAATATGCAATGTATTAGAGAATGTTCCAGAAAGTATTGTTTTATTAAAAAATCTAAACAAAAACTTCTCATGAAATACAGCTCAATTAAAAGATTAAAGAACATTATATTGATTAAACTAACTATAACTAGAACAATTTTAATGCAAAGGAATTTATTATGAGAAAGTTTCATTTCTTATTGACTCTCGAACAATATTAATAAAAAAAACACATAAAATAATTTACACACTAAAGTATATCATTTTGTTTCTTCTACAATTGTCATTATCTGTAAACATTTTTTTATTACTTTTCGTTTTTTTATTGAAAGAGATTTCAGATCTTTATCAAAACTCAATGCATAGAATATTGTAAATTGAGAAAAGCCTGCCAATAATAACATACTGAATATATTTAAGAATATGCTTTCATATATTCATTTAAAGATTATTCAGTTAATATGGAATTATTACAAGCTTAGAAGATATTTGATTGTTATAAAAATGGTTTCCCATCATTTATTGAATTACATCAATCATTTTATTTCATTTCATTCTTTTCTCTTCTTTAGTAATATCAATTCAATAATCGAAATAGAAGATCACCAGTGCATATCAATTGCATTCAGAACTGAGAGAGACAAGTCAAGTCTAACTAGACTTGTGACTTGAAAAACACTTGGCTTGTCCAATTATGATTGTATTACTTAATGTTTTATGTTCTTTTCTAAATTAAATAGAAATAGTTATTCATTGATTTTTTTTTCATCGTTCTATTATGTCAGATGATAGACTCGAGCTATTTTATATTCGTGATTATAATCAGTATAGAAATCTTACTCAGATAAGTTATATTAGTCAATAAGCTTTGATTCATATAATCTCAATAGACGTTTTCAAATATCATTTTATCTTATATCATATGTTGATGTTGTTAGAATATTTCATACGTGAATAAGTTTTGTAAAAACCAAAGTTTTCCCATATGATGATTATGATTACTTATATAAAACATTTATTTATTCATGATAGAATGATTCAACAATATTTTCATATTCAATTGAAATCAAAGACAATGACACTGTCCACGCTTTCATATCGCCACAAAATCTATCACTTATTGGTTAAATAGCTTTTGTTGAACAGTTATTTGCAAGTACACATGATTATTGAAGATGGTTCGAGCTAAGAACTCATCATATATTTTTATTTGAAAGTAATACATGTACGCAGTACAATTACGAGGAAAACTAAATTGACAATCTTGACTTTAAAACTTGACTGTAAGAAAAACATTCAAAAAGATTATTATTTTTAAATGTGTTGCAATGAAAACAGTCGATTTCGTTAATGTTTTTTTTTTTCTTAGATCTTATTTTTGAAGTAATTCAAATAATTCACAATCGTCTCGACACATTTATAATGTATTTCGATTGCGTTTAACGTCATGTTGTTAGCATACAACGTGCTTCATAAACCACATCAAATTTCATGTTTTCTCTGTCATAACAAACATAATCATGAGTATTGTCTCCATAAGACTAAAATAATAATTGTCAAAAATTTTCTTTAAAACAACAAAAACTTCCTACCGAAAAATTTTCCATTTGTCATCGATTTATTCTATGACTGAATGATTGATAATAAATAATTTATTGTATCTAATTAGATATTTATAACTACAAATGAGTTTATCGCATTTATTTAGAGCTTTCTACCTTTTCGAGATATACATGCTTTCACCTAATGCCACATTGATTAACAGCCGATCAACCATTTTGTTCTACTCAAATTTCAAAGATTATTGATTTAGTCGATTCATAGGCACCTTTTGAATAGAACGAAACCGAATATTTCTGTTGTTTTCTAGTTACTAAGTGATTGTTTGATTGATTAAATAATATTGAATATCATATAGAGAGTTGCTGCATATACATAAATGTTATTTAACATAACTCATTCGTCAAATGTCTGTCAAGGAACAAGAAAAATAATGGAAACATGAATAATATACTTCATGATGGCATGATGTGTTTAGAAAGTAGTACATTAATAGGTTTAAATGTCAAAAAATTAAAATTCATTTTTTTCTTTTTCTATTTTGCTTTTTATCAACAACGATGAATAAAGCTTGTACAAATAGACGAAATGCAAAAAATTGCAAACGATAGTGAAGTATCGGAATGAGAAGGCAGATTGAAGGTATTCTGTTTCTTAGTTTGTCCATTAAGAGAACTTTAAAAAAATAAAGAAGAAAAGAAATATATTTGTGTGTGTGTGTGTCTATGCATCAAGTTGTTAAGAAGAAAAGGAACATGGCATTTCATTCGCTATTTTAACAAACAACATTAACGCCAACTCCGTTTTATTTTTTTTTTTCAGAAACATTAAAAATAGAAGAGAAAAGAACGATCTTATTCATACATTAAAGTTCATAGTAGAAAAACAGTACTAAAAGAATGCTTCAACCACGCCTTGAAAATGAACAATTTAATTCATTACCAAATTTATTGGCAACTGATCGTTCACGTACGGGATTTATTACAACTGATCGTCCTGATTCTTCACAAGTATTGTTAAAATGAATAAAAGAAAAAAAAAAGGATTTTTTTAAAATATTTATTTATTCATTCATAGCTTGTTGATTTACATGTTTATATTATTCCAAAAAAAGTATGGAAAGATGTTCAACATTTAGCAGAGAACGAAGCAATGGAAGAGGCTATATCAGCTGGTTTCGTTCAGTAAAAATAAATAAAAAAAAAAGAAAGAATTTTTACATTATTAATTGATTGAAACTATTTAGTGTATCACCTAATATGAAAATACGTGATTTACGTGAATCAATTGAACAATTATGTGGAACAGAAAGTTATTTTCCACGAGATTTTATTTTTCTTCGATCTGTTGGAAGATGCTTGACAAGAGTTAAACCAAGACAAGAAAATGAATTAAAAGTGAAAAATTATCGTCCACCACAGGTTAGAAGAAATCCTTTTTTTATTTATAAAAATATTTGATTAGATTATTTATTATTTTAGACATTTGCACCGGAGGTTAATAAAAAAAAAATCTGTTGTTTTTTGATTAGAAAAAGAAAAGTAACTTTTTTTTTTCTATTAGATCTATTTACTTGAAGGTCGTCATGAAGATTATGCATATCTTCCATGTGCTTCACCAGCACTCTCATCAGCTAGTTATATATTTGGTAATCGTAATCAAAATCATTCGAATTATGATGATGATGGACAATCAGCAACAAAATTTGCTCAAAATTATAATCGTAAACCAATACGTGGTGGAAAAAATTATCCTCCAGCCATAAATGCAAATGATTCATTATACCATGTTCCTTCATCAGGAAGACAAAGTTGGACAAAATTTACACAAATTGGTTCAGGTAATTTAAATTTATATAGCATTGAAAAAAAAACTTATTTGACTTTTTTATTTATTTTGTTTTTTTTTACAGATCACGAAGAATCATCAACTAAGTAAGTGAAAAGAGATTGATTTCTGAAAAAAGGGCAACATAAAATCAGTTTTATTTTTTTAAGTCAAACAAAAGAATGATGATGATATTTCCTTTTCTAGCATGTCTAACATTACAAGTATTGTGTCGAGGTATAAAGACAAAATTCGTTTTTTTTTGTGACAATCGAATAACTAAACATTGTGATTTGTTGTTATTGCATTACTTTATGTATACATTTCTATGTGTATAATTAAAAAACAACTGATTTTTCTTTTCTAGGGACTTGTCGAAATTGAAAGAAGAACAAGAACGTCTGCGTCGACGTCAAGCTGAACTCGAACGAATGCGTCGAGCTGCTGAGGAAAAGAAAACTCGATCTGGACATGATGAAGAAGAACGTCGTCGTCAGCAACAAATTGATGCTGAGCGAGAAGAAGAAGAACGTCGTCGTCGTCAAGAAAAAGCTGAAGCTGAACGTCGTCGTTTAGAACAAGGAAAAACCGAAGCCGAACGTCGTCGCTCAGAACAAGAGAAAGCTGAAGTTACACGCCGTCGTTTACAGCAAGAAGAAGCAGCTGCAACAAAAATTCAAGCATCTTATCGTGGTTTTAAAGATCGTCAAGCATTAAAAGAACGTAAACGAAGGTAAATTTTCAATAACTATTGATTGATGAACAGGAAATTCTTTATCTCTTGTTAAATACGGTTCTATAAGCGTCATATCATATTTCCTATGTTAGCTCACTTTCAGGTTACATCGCACTTTATTTAGCTTTGACCAACAAACCAATGAGGTAGGCATTATAAGTTGAGATCTGTAAAGAAATATTATTTTTTGTTACTATAATCTTATAAATATAGAAACTGAACATTCCATTCATCGTTCCTGTTAAAAAAAAACAGACGATGTCGAAAAACATGATTAAAGAAACAACCTTTTTTTTTCTGCATGATTCTTTACTGTGTAGTTTTGATTTCTTTTTTTCAAAAAAATTTGTTCATACACTCCAACTCATTTCTTCAGTGTTACCAATAATGATTCTCGAATATTATCATCAAAGTCTCATACAAGAAAGAAAGCAAAAGTAAAGACGAATGAGGAGGAGATCAATATTGATTATGATACTAGTAATCATGATTTATCTCACGGGTTAGTGTTATTATTTACATTTTGTGTACTAATTATTGATTCATTATTTTGTGTGTGTGCATATAATTGCTTGTTTGTTGATTTGATTGCACTCTTGTTTTGTATGATTGCAAAGATTTTACATAAATCGATACAATATTCTCATATTTTTACTGATTACTTAGTACGAACAGGTTGGATCGTGTAATAAAAGTTGAAAAAGAAAATGAAGCATCAATTAAAAAGCAAACAGCATATCAAAATTTTCGTCGACGATCTTTACTTGTACCAACACCTGTAGAAAATAAACAGTAAGATGATTGCACTGTTGGTTTATTTATTCTATTTCGTTAAAAACAAAATATTTACATGCACATAATCCATATTTGCTTTATTTATGTATCCAATTTGATTACATATATTACTTTGGTTTTTTTTTCTTTTATTCACTCAATATTTTCAGTGAAAATCGAAAAATATCAAGTTCAAACAGTTCAAAATCGGACGATAATGACAATGAACATGAGGATACACAAAATGAAATGTATGAATATTTGTTGCTTATATCTTCTTTATCTATCTAATATCGTTTCGTTTGTTTGTATAACTCTTGCATCATACTAGTTCATTGGATTCGATATTGTCATGATTTTATGACACTGTCTAATAGAACTAGAATATATATATATATCTGTTGTTTTCTTTTTGGCTCTATTATCTGCGTCTCCTTATTATATGTCTAGTAGTCAAATTCTAACACGATCATCATCGATCGGATCGACATCGGATCCCGAATCTTCCAATACAACATTAGTAGAAACATCAAGATTAAAACAAGAACATGCAGAAAGTATTGATTCGAATTCGTCATCCGTATTATCAATAAAAAATCACAGAAAAAGAAATCAATCAAATTTATCAACACATTCAAAAACTCAAGAAACAGTTGATACAGCACCATTTACTATTGATTCACCTATACTTTCACCAAAGAAAGAAAAAAAAACCTATGATAATGAGAATCATACTCGATATGAAATTGATAATAAATTACGAAGGTCATCATCTGAATCTTTACGAAGAAGTACACCTGAAATCGATCCTGAACATAAAATAATTGATTATGAGTGAGTATCTATCGTTCTTTCTTTGGACACAATAAATAAAAAAAACGCATCAAACAAACTGCATGTGCAAATTATTCATATGTGTGTATGTGTCTTGTAATTAATTATTTACTAGTTTGTCTTTTAAGTGTGTTTATATATTTCTCACTTATTCTACCTTTTCTTACCAACACAAGATAATTCTTTTATTTTAATTGAAATTTGAAATTAACATGTAATTTGTAATTTAAAGGATTGAATTAGAACGACGTGAAACTGAACTTAAACGACGTCGACAATTGGAAGATGATGAACAAAAACGAAAAGCAAAAGATTTAGAAGAACAACGACGAAGAGAATTAGCTAAACGACAACGAGAAGATCGTAAGTATTTACAAACTTTATAGATTCTCATTTAGCTAATATTTCCGTTTAATATGATTACTTGTTATGGTCAAAATATTTCTTTACGATGTATATATCAATTCCATTTTAAGAAAGCTAACAGAAAAGAGACTGCTTATGTCAATCGTCAGTTGAGGAGTTATTGCATCGATTGTTGAAGGTACATTTTCACTTAAAAGTATTTTCAATTGAAGACAGCTAAGAATTGATCATATTAAGAATTCTTTTAATTGACTATTTGCAAAGTGAATATTCGCCTTGAAGAATTTGTCAATTGTTTCAACTTGAATTAGTTCTCAAATTTCAGTTCATACATTCGTTTGATTACTTTTTCTCTTTATTTTATTGCTTAAAAATAAAACTGTCTATGTATGGCTTCGGTTATTTATTTTTTTGAAAGTTTTAACAATTTCAGTTTGAATGTAAATATAAACAAGCAGAAATTTTTTCGAACTCGTTCGTTAAGTTTATTAAGTGCTTTATAGTATGCAATAAGATAAACTATATTTGTAATTGATGCTATCAACAGTAGAACATAAGACGACATTTTTTACGCAATATTTAGAAAAAATTTTAAAATGCCAACTGATATATTAAGAAAAAGAACTTCACCTTTGAATTCATTTTTGAGAAACATGATCCTCTGATGATTCAGTTACTTTTGATTAAAAATTAATGACTTTTAAAGACTTTCAAATGTACCGTTAGAAATTGTATGAAAATCTTGGAAGAGATTAAACTAATATCGATGTGAGAGTTAAAGTTACTGGACGTCCAAAATTGAATAGATCGAGAACCGTAGCAGTTAACAATTTGTAGTTTTCATCAACCAAACGAGAAAACATTCGAATGTGTTTTTTTTTCTCCATTTACATATAGAATGAAATCATTTCGAATCAAATGGTTTTCAGAAAACATTTAAAAAACAATTGTGAAGATAGTCTGTAGTTCTAAACAAAATTTCGATTTTGACATGTGTCTTCGATAGAAAACCTTAAGATCTATAGTTCCAGAAACAATTTAAATGATTATCTTCTTACAAGATAATGCTGAACAAATCAAATTGTGAATCTATTCGATCGTATGATAGAGAAGTTATAATTGTTTTGCAGAAATCATTGATTTCATGCTGTATGTTAACCCAAAAAAGAAGTCGTCATGTCTTTTTAAATTCTTGAAAGTTGCAGATCACTGTTTGCTTGCATTCCCGACTGATTCCATTTTTTAAAACAAGTATCATAAAGTCTCGCACTTATATAAGTAACGTGTAGAATTGTTTACCTGTTAGCATAAAATATTTCTCTCGATGGATAAAGACAATTCTTTGAATTGGATATTTTTATTATTCTAGCTGAAACACTTCGTGCACGTCTTCAAGAATTACGTGCTCGTCGTGCTGATTTAGAAAAGATTCGTGAAGAAGTTATTAAACATTTGAAAAATATTCATAATCGAATAACATTACGACGAAAAGAAGGTGATTAAATATTCCTATTATGATTATTATTAATCTGTAATAAAGAATTTGAATATATTTAGCACGCGATATGTGGAAGAAAAAATATTTTTTTGAAAAGAAAAAAACTCCACCATTAGAAGAACGTATTATATTATTAAAAAATGAATTAGAACAAATACATAAAAAAACAATTCAAACAATTGATGGTGAAGCAAAACATGCAATGCAAATAGGTTATGTAAAAGAAGCTGAAATTGGAGTAAATTTACACGACATTTCTTTTTTCTATTAATTTGAATAGTTATATATTAATTTCTTTTTCCTTAGAATTATCTTGTACGAGTAACACGTACTCATCATGATATTCAAGATATTCGTCATCAAGTTGAACAAGCAAAATTACGATTAACAACTGATGTTAAAGTAGAAAGAAGAAAAATGTTTTTCTTTTCATTCTTTTTTATTTATTTATTTATTTTTATAGTTACGAAATCAAGCTGAAAATGAATGTCGTTCGTTAAGACATGAATTAAATGAAGCTAAAATGAACTTAAATCATATAAAGACTCGTGTTGGAGCTTAAATTGTCATTTCTTTTTTTTTTTTTATTGCAATATACAATGACGGGCAAAACGGGGGATGCATACATATAATGAATATAATAACTAAACTAAAAACAAACTAACAAAGAAAAACAAACGGTTTTAAGATTAATATGATTGTTTTAGAGTTTAATCATCGTCATCATCGTCGTCCTTGTCGTTGTCTTTTGTTTCCTTTGTTTCATCTTTTGTTGTCGTATCTTGTTTTTTAGCAGTACGATCAGCTGTACGATAGGATTCTTTTGATGATGATGATGATGATGACGAACTATCATCCTTTTTTAATGCAGCAATAATATGTTGTTCAGTTTGTTTTAATTGTTGTTTGAATAAATCAAGAACATTATGAACATTAACAGTAATTGTTGCATCATGTTCATGATGTTCCTTATGACTATGATCAAATTTTTTACTTTTATCTTCAACTTCTATTAAATTTGAAAACAATAGAATTAATAACAAAGATTATATTTCATTTACCTTTGCTGTTATCATCATCATCTTTTGATGCAGCAGCTATTATGATAAAAATACAATATAGATTATTAATTATTTTCTATTCTTTTGTTTTTGAAAATCTTACTTGTCATTGTAATATCAGTACTTGATTTATTAACCTCTACTACTGGTAATACGGAACCAACAGCAGCTGCATCACCAACTGATGCTTGTACATAGTTTGCTAAAAGATGAAAAAATATATAGAAAAAGGTTTGATGTTCAATTTTGGATTGCAATAGAAGAAATTAAAATTAAAACAAACCTGCAATACATATTGCGAATAAAGTGAATAAAGGAAGATGCATTATGTTTCAATAGATTAGAATGTGTTAGTGAATGGTAGATGAAGAAAAAATGATCAAATGTGAAAGCATCAGTTATATATATATATATATATATATATGGTGCAGTAGACAGAAAGATAGAACAGACAAAATAAAATCAGTCATAGTTCTTCGCGTTGTATGGAGAAAATAGCTCATTGACCTGGCTGCCCTGAAAAATCATAGCATCATCCTTTTATCACTTATAGTAGAACATGAAGTTGAAGACAAAAAGGGCAGCATGAAATAAAGCACAGCTGTCATTAATATTCATACATTCTCATTAGATATACAAATGGATAGATGCATCTTCACAATAGTCATCGATGGACTGCGTTCATATATGTCAGAGAAGTACTATTATTTGTTCAGTAGAACGATAGTAAGCAATAAGGTTAATGAACGGGTCATGAAAAATGATATGTAGTCTAGTCAGGGAAACTGCTTTGTTTATCTATCAATCAAATAGAAAGAAATGTTGAAGCAAAGTACAATATTAATCAACAGATGTTTAGTCTTAAACGAAAGTAAGATGTCAGAAACAATAAACTATAGTTTATAAAAGAATGAGAAAAGAACGATCCAATGCATATAGTATTAGAAAATGAATAGAAAAATATCTAGAATATTCCAATGTTTATTTTATAAGATATTTTAAAGGCAAATTTTAAAAGATTTCAAATTGAGCAAAAGAAGACGTTCAGTTTAACTCTGAGAATGGCAAAGTTTTATTTATTCATAGAATTTTTAAAATAAGCAAGTAGAAGAAACTGTTCTCATATTTCATATTTCGATAGAAATAAAAAATTTTTGACAGAAACAAAATAATATAAAACTAAAGACATTAATAAGAGCTATGTTTTCCCAGTCTTTTCAAGCATAAAATATGCTAATCGATAGAAATTATACAATAAACAAAACTGAATGTTAAAAAAAATAGATTCGTATATTAAGGGAATAGATAGTGCTTTGGTTTATATCATAGCTTCCAGTTCAATGAATTGGAAGAATTAAGTCAAAGAAAATTACTAATCAGTTCTTTTCATACAAACTGAGTTTCCATGTATGATAGTTTATCATGCCGTAAGCTGGATGATAAGCAGCTTTATGTGCTCTGTTACAATATATAAACAACTTTCAAGTCAAATGAATTAGTATTAGATGAACAAGTAAATGTTTGGAAAAGATTCTAATACTGTCAAGAGTTCGAATATTGCGTAAAAAGAAAAGTTTGACTTTTGATTCTCATACTACCTATTCTAAATTATTTAGATGAGTTAAAACTGTTACATAACTATTTTTAGTATAGTGCACAAAAAGAAAAAATTTCTAGTTGCCATTTATATGAAACGAGATGAATGATCGAAATTAGTTCAACTTGTTCATATGACTTTATCATAAGTTTTAAAGTGTTACAAGTTTTTTCATATTCATTTTTAGAGCACTATTGTGTTCTTCTAACGTCTGACAAACCATAAATCAATTTACTACTGAAGAAAAATTAGACTTATCTTTCAAGATAGGCGGTCTTATTTCTTTATCACAAGTAATATTTCATATCTTATTAATCAAATTATTCGACACGTTAATAAAGATAAAGTATTAACGATGTTTTACTAACAAGATAAAAAAGAATTCTATCATCCAGTGATTCAAGAGTCATAGTAATAACGACAGTTAGAAAAAGAATCTAAAAAGATAATTCTTTCAGAATATAGATCTTCTGTGTTTTTTTCTTTACTGGCTATCTATTAGAGACCTATCAGCTTTAATGCTCTCGGGACAAATCACATATAAATAAGTGATGGTTCTCAATCAGCTTATGAATGATTTGCGCATGTTTCTTATGAGACTTTAAACCTGTTTGCTTCGTTCGTGTATAAAACGAGCAACAAAATGAACTGATAAAAATGCCATGAACGAAATTTCTGGTGAATTAGAATAAAAAAAATAAAGTAAAATTTTTCATAAAACTGAGAATTTTCATTTCTTTTCTAAAGTAATCCCGTCCTGAAGGGATTAAATGTCATTCTTGTTGTTTACTTCTTTTTTCTTAAAAACTTCATTGTACTTGAGTATGTACAATGAGACTCTGTAGAATACATCTGGGCTATCGATTATTTTGACAGTGACATTTTTGAAACATGAATTTCTATTTACAGTAAAGTCAATCATATAAACATAAGCGTATTAGTTGGCAAATCTAAAACTAATTGACACGATATGCATATGTATATATCTTCTTTTCAAGTATGCATTCATGTGCTTTAAGCTGAATCTAGATAAATTCCATTTTGTATAAATATTAATTATAGTATAGCAAATTTAACAAAGACTATCAATATTAAATCGAATATATAATAGAAGATTACTTAAGATGTTTATTATAGTATTATATAATTTTTTTTCCAAAATAACATTCAAGGTTAATTCTATCATAAATTAATTATAATGTCTAAAAATAAAATTTCTAATAACTATTCTAACATTCCTAATGTATACTTCACCATTCTCAAAAAAAAGATGTAATATATGAGTAACAGTAGGACGTGCCCTTTTTCTTTGTTCATGCACATTAGCAATTAGCATAACTGAATTAATTACTTGGAAACGATAAAATACTGATGTATAATAAAAGAAATAACTTATTGAAATATTGGATAATTTATAGATACAAACACAAAATCTATTAATTTATATTTAATTTCTCATATTATTTAAATACAAACGAAAATGTCAAACGAATAATCGACTACATTGAATTAGATATACATCTAAATATATATATATATATGTTGTTATTCCCTGCATTTTAATAAACCGGATACGATGGTATTCGATGTGTAGGAATGTTATTATTATTATTATTATTATTATTATTATTATTATTATTATTATGACTTGGTGATGCTCGATAAAATTGATGATGCATACGATCAAGTAATGTTAATGGTTGATGATTAACTAATTCAAGACGTGATCGTCTTTGTTGTTGTTGTGAACGATCAATAAAACCATTTGTTGATCGTGTTGATGTTAATAAAACTGAAAGAGGTGAATAAAGATCTTCTGAAAGATCTGGTAAAATATCTTCATCATATTTTGTTGGAATTGGAAAATGTTGTTGTAATGAAATATCTCGTCGACGTATACGTCGTGTTGGAAATTTTTGTGCAGATACTGATATTGGATGATTATCATAAATACTTTTAATACGTTGTTGACGATGATCTGTACTATAGGAACGTTTTGAAATAGCTGATTTTTTTTCATTAATTAATCCATTTATTGTTTCTGTTCGTTCATCTGATGATGAATTTGATCGATTGGCTGATGATATAATTTGTTGCTTACGTGTACGACGACGACGTCTACGAGTTGTACTTGATGATGATACATCGATAGAATCTTCGTCACTTGAATGACAATTTATTGGTGGTATAATTGATGTAGTTGTACATGAAGCTGAAAGTAATGGATAAGTTTGTGAAGAAGATACAATTGGAGATGAAGATAGTTTTGATGATACACTTATTGAAACAACTTGTCTTTTTTCAGGACTCATTACTTCAATACTTGTTTTAAGAGATGATATACCATTAGATAATGGTACTTTTGTTGAATGTAAATTTTCATAATCATCATCATTGGAGTCAACATTTGTTTGCATTGTTATTGTTGAAGGTTGAATAATTAATTTATCATATGTTTTATTTTGATATGATGATGCTGATGAAGCAGCTAAATATTGTTCACATTCAAGTGTTAATGCACGAAATAAATCATCTAATGTAGAAGAATTGAGAAGTGGTTGTGGTTGTTGTTTTTGTAAATCAGATTGATAAATAGGATGACGTTGATGATGATGTTTTAGTGATGAAGAATTACGACGAGGTGGTGGTGGTGGTGGTGCTATTGATGACGATGATGATGTTGTTGTCATGATTGAAGATAACATTGATGAAGAATGATAATCATGTTCGGCAAATGTCAATGATGGTAGTGTCTGTGTCGAAGATCCTTGAGAAAATTCATTACTTGATGAAGATTCATTTTGAAGTATATCAGATAAGAGAAGATTAAGACGACTTTTTGCATTCATTTCTATTTTTGACGAGGTCTAAAATGATATAGATATTTCAATCATTTATCTTTTTTTCTATACAGTAATATATGTCTAGACACAATGTCAATCGAGCGTAACGCAACAAAACCAAAAGTCGATTTTTATAATTAATATTACAGTTCAATGTCTAACTTTTTATTTTCTTTTATAAAAATATTTTATAGATCATTAAAGTGATAATTGGAATCAAAAGTGATATAATTTGCTATAATTAATTTCTAATTATCATTTATGCTAACAAATTATTATTAATTTCTTTTGATATGAAAATATAGAAACAAAACATAACTTGCTATCATCACTCTGTGTTATTCTTACCGTTATTGATTATTTACTTGCCAATAAAAAAATTATATTGATCACAATGTAAATCATATTCTAGCCATTTATTCTACTTGAGTGAAAAAATAAGAACAACAATAAGCATATTAGGTGAATATAGTAAAGGAGAAAAAAAAGAGAGTCATTGGCATCTTCTTTTTTCTTTCTTGTCAATGTAAAAATGTGCAAAAGAAAAAGAAGACGAAGACGAAGAAGGCCATCTAGTTTTGTTTAGCGGATAGAATAATCAAGGATGATGACTTGTATTTTCTTTTTTTCTTCTTTTTTTTTTCTTCTTAGATCGACGACACACAGAACACGAACTCTGGTAAACGACACATGCACACAAATAAAAGAAAAAGGAAAAGATAGAAAGAAAAGATGGTTGATTATCGGCATTTATGTCTGTCAACCGAATCTACTTTTTCTTCTGATGATGACAACAAGTACTAACAATGTTCATTCATTCATTTCTAAACACGCAAGAGGCTTCCGACAATTGATGAACTCTATATAACAAAGAACAAGTTGAAGT